CTCTTCCTCCATCTCCGTGCTGCATTGCAGATCTAGGTGTCGGCCGCTGTGTAAGGCATCCCTTCTTCCCGTTTCACTATATGAGTGGAGGCTCTGGCAGACTATAAATAGCTCCAGTGCGTCTTGGCCTCCCACTCCGGACTGGCCCTCACAAGTCAAGCAGCCACACACACACACACACACACACACACACACACACACACACACACACACACACACACACACACACACACACACACACACACACACACACACACACACACACACACAATACTAAACACACGCTGAAAAAAATAGTTGATAGATACTTCTTCTGCACATGAATGCCTTATAGAAGCTGTTGCTGCCTATTGTAAGCACTTCAGAGTCAAAGGTTAGATTCATTTAGTGTGAATGTGAGAGAGATAACAGGCAAAAAAGAAAGAAAAAGTATTTTAACAGCTTATTACTTTTTTTCAAAGTTTACATTTTCAACAGCATGTCAAGGCCACTTCAACCCTATTTATCTAATGATAATTGAGTGTTTTTTAGCATGTATTTATCTGCCAAACTCACATTATCTGATGCATCAACAGATTATGGCCAAAGTTAAAAACGTTGCGCACAGCCAGGCTTCTTCCTGGTGATGCACTGACAAGAATCTGAAGTGAATTATCTGGCTCGTAATGAATCCAATTATCCTTAAAAGGTTTTGGAAAAATCTAATCATCAGCAAGCACTGTGATTCTGAAAGTCTTCCCATGGATTCATTTTTGGGACGATTTGTTCACATTTCCAGGATGACAATGTTTTCAGTAAAGGGACAGTTAGTGACCTTGTCGGTCAAAAACACTGAAGTGAGAAGGAAGTGAACGTTTTAAAGAACGGTTCTGCAAAGAGTATATTAGAAGAAGCACAGGACAGAACTGAAGAAAAATCCCCCTCACAACAAACATCTGAACTTTGTTGTATACGATTTAAAGATCTGCACCAATGAAAGTAAAAACCAACATAGTGTCCTTACTACTACAAGACCCAGAAACATATTCAATACTGTTTGGATAGAGCACTTCTTAATCTCCTTAATCTAGGAGTGATGCACAACATGAAGCCAAAAGATCGGTCTTCATCTTGTGTTTTGCATTGGATTGTATCTGGTGTATTAAATGTTATTACAGAAAAGTAAGAACATTTGAATTACAATGAAATATGAAATGTATTTATGGTACACACAAAGGCTTCAAACGTAATTTAATATATTTGTATATCAACAGGGTGTGCCATTGGTTTGCTTGTTCTCACATGAGTGTCATTTTATGTAAGTTTTAATTTGCGGATGTGGTTTAGTGAGTAAGCGGGACTTTGTGGCATGAAGGAGTAGAAAATGAGAACGGCAGGGTTATAAAGCATCATTGAATTTGACCACTCAGCTGATGAAGCAAACAATACAGTGGAGTGTGTCAACGGATGAGTAGATCCAAAAAAAAGAATGTGTAAATGCCTCCTTGACTACCGATCAGTTCACCTAGCTCAGAGTCATTTTGCTCCCTGCCAGAAGGGTTCTTGTTATAGCAGCTATGCCTATGCCTATAGATGATATATGAATTCTCCTGTTTTGTTTATTTTAACCTCATTTTTCACATGCGGTCCCACACACACCTGGTATGTCTCCAGGGGCTTGCTCTCCATGTTGAGGTCCCAGACTTTGGCAGTCAGGTAGTCTCTGGTGAGCAGGTAGCGACCGCTGTGGCTGAACTTCACGTCCGACACGGAGGAGATGATCTCTGAAAAGAAGGAGCGGGCGCTGGGGTCCTCGGGCTCCTCAAACACTGGAGAGGGGGGGAGAGAGGGAGAGAGGGAGAGGGAGAGGAGGGGGAGTGCTGTTAAACCCTGAGGATGCTATCTTTGTTTTTATCATGTACAAAGGTAAATACATATCTTGGATGGGTTTACATGTTGAGGTTTGTGTTGATTTATGTTATAAATGCTTCTGTGTGCAAACATCAGCACATTTTGAAGGGAACAATAAGATATATTTGACAAAGCACCTGGTAAATACAGGCTATTGAATATAACAAGGAAAATGAATCCCTTGCTGCTCGGTGTGGAACACAATTTGCAGTGTTTTCTGCTCTAGTGACTCATACTGGTCAGAGCTGTGAAACACAAGGCATACTGGTCATTTCAACTTGGAAGGACACAAAAAGAAGAAAAGAAAGTTGGGAAACCATAAATCTAAAGTATGAGAATGTGCCATGAATTGAGTTGGTGTCCTTTAAGGACAGCAGATGTATGGGATCACTAACCCTGTTCTATATTAAAGGTGGGGTAGGTAAGTTTGAGAAACCGGCTCGTGAAACACTTTTTGTTATATTCCATGGAATGCTCTTAACATCCCGATAGCAATGAATATCTGAAGTGCTTTGACAAAAAATCCATAAGAAAAATGTCATCTGTGGAAGCCGTGGCGCTTTAAAAAGCACGACCAATCATTCTAGCCGGCCCGGCTGAAATAACTGGATGGCCTACCTGCCTGTCAGCCTTCCATCTGTGCACAAACTTATCTCGTGCCCTCATTGGTCATGTGCGCGTTCGTGTGTGTTGGAGGAGGGGCTCTGTAAGGAAGTCTGAAGGAAGTGGCAGATTTTTTCCGGCTATGTATTTTCAAATTCTAGCGCACTCGAGCTGGTTTCTCCAAAATTACCTACCCCACCTTTAAAAGACATGCTTTGGAAAGGAATATTAAATGTGGAACGAATTTTCCAAACGGGACATACTTGGCTCCTCAATGGTTAGGAAATCAAACTTCTTTCAGGATTAAGATATGTCTTCATCGTTTACGTCGCTCATTTTCTCCCCAACGGCGCTCACAACAACAACAATGGGTTACTTTTAATCATACGAAGTCAGATTAAATTAAATAACTACTTCTCCAAACTTATACTTTTCTCCAGAGTGCCGTGGTTCATTGTTTATTAATGTGTTTCAGCGGGATTACCGCCCGCTGTTTGGCATCACAACTGTTATGAAAGTTTCTCTGTATAAAATGGGTGATGTTAGCATAGCAACCGAAGCTAAACTGACTATCTTGACTACTTGTTGCTATCCTATTGTGGCATAAGCCATTTTCTATAGGCACATTATACCGGCGTATTTTTCATTATGATTCTACTTGTGATAGTCGGACATGACAACCTGTGCAGCCCATGTATTGATTCCATCCGATAGCTGCTATGATACAAAACAAAACGTCTGAAAAGAGCCGGCTCCGCTGCGGTGTGAAAAGGAAAAAACGGTGCTTATCAGGCTCTAGCTCCGAACCAGCCCGGGAACCGCGGTGGTGTGAAAGGGGCATGAGAGATTTTTGGTTAAGAAGAACACAATGGTTCTCTAGGAGGATATTCAGGTGATAAGGTGGGCGGGGTTAAATTGGTTGGTTATTGGCTAATGGTTACACAACCCAAAAAATTGTTATGACATCATAAGGTAGCCAAAATCTGATCAGCTCATTGTCAGACAGGTTTTTTATATAAATGGATCAGGACAAAAAGTGAGTGAATCTTTTTTCCTGAAACTTTCAGAATCTCTTTACACAGACGGGACACATAGTTATACAGTATGTAAAAGACATGAAAAAGTGGATTTTGCATAATAGGTGACCTTTAATGCTAAAAGCACTACAGATAAAAAGGCAAAGGGTGTTTTTTTTATCTTGGGGTGAGCTGCCCCTTTAATGATCCCTCCTGCGATAGGCTATAGACTAAAAACAAACACAATGCATTGTCTTCATGTTAGCTGTCCACAGGTTTACTCACATTTGGAGTGTTTGTCGCACAGCGCTGCCTCTCTCATGTCACAGAGGCGCAGGGTGCCTTTGCTGCTGCTGTAGACAAACAGGTTACAGTGGTGGGGGTGAAACTCAGCCGCTGTGATCACCTCCGTCAGGTCCTCCATGTTGGCTGGCTTGATGTCCACAATGTCTGAGAGAAAGCGTCATTTAGGAAGACAACAGAGACAGTCAACCTCCCACAGCCGGTGGTTTGTTTTAGCCTCAACGTTATTACGGGCTCCAGTCAACCATACAGTTTGTACATCAACGTATCTTTCATGTATTTTATTCACCTAATAATTAGATAGTATTCATTCATGTGGTCACCTACACAGGTCCATAATCTACATACGAAAAACCCCACAAATGTATGTTAATGTAAACCAAACAATAACAATGTGAGGAATTTACAGAGGAAATAAAGCAAACCAATTTAAATGTATCTTGGGGGGATTGTGGGGAGAAAAGTAATTCCATATTCAGATAAATTGTAATATCATAAATCCGGTCTGGGTCATGGATGTGACTGCACTGTTTCCCATTGAGCTGGATTACAACTCAGAAAGAGGCTGAAATATTTATGCAGCTTTTGAATTATTCATTAAACTACATTTTCAATCCTCAAGAATAATATTCCCCTCCCCCCACGCTGTGTGTCTTTGTGCATTTCCTTAGACAGCAAAGTGGGATTTGCGATGTAGGAGTTTGTTGTAAGTGTGTGTGTGTGTGTGTGTGTGTGTGTGTGTGTGTGTGTGTGTGTGTGTGTGTGTGTGTGTGTGTGTGTGTGTGTGTGTGTGTGTGTGTGTGTGGGGCAGGATTGATTATTGAGCATGGAGCATGTACAAGCATTTTTGTGTCAATGTATGCATTAATTATCTGTGTCGTTGTACTTTATTAAATCCATTCCTGCTTTTATGTGTGTTTGTGTCTGTGTGTGAAGATGTATGTCTTCTCTCCTCCTCCCTATGAATACATATCAAAACCCGCAAAGGATACTGAAGCTGCGGTCGGTGATGTCCAGATGCCAGAGGTTGATCCTCAGGTCGTCAGCTGACATGTAGGTCTGATAGTCGGAGTTGACGGAGATGGAGTTGACGTGGTAGGTGTGGGCATTGGCAAACACTCGCCGCGGACTCACCTCCACCATCAGGTCCATCGGCATCAACACCGGCACCTTAAAGGACAGAAAGAGGAAGCAGTTTAGCTTCCATTGCAACTGATTAGGAGAAGAAAGATGGTCAGAGACAGGAGATTACATTTCAATAACTTCATGTATCATGAATGAATATTTAATGCCTCACTTCCTTTGACATTGCTAATACATTATTGGTTGAACCCAAACGTGCTCCTTGATAGCAAGATCAAGAGCCAATTCAGCATGAGTTATAGCTCATTTGCATTTTAATAACTTGGCATTTGCAATAAAAGCACTATTTCTTTGTTGATACATGATTCACATACACATACACAGTTTAAGTGTGTGCCTATTTGCATACTGCCCAGCGGGAGCACCAAACACATACCTTTTCTGAGACCTTCACAAAGAAGGACATACTACACATGCATTATGCCAAGAAGAAATTCAACGCTACAAATGAATCAAGCATCAGTCAACTGATCTGCTGGTCAGTCAATCGTCAAATAATCCCAGTATTTTGATAATGAAATAATGGCTTGAGTAGTAGAAATGGCAGAAAATGTTGCCTTCAGCCTTTCAAATAGGGGATCATTTCTGAATTTCTCTGTTTTAAATCATATTAACTGAATATCTTTGGATTTTTTGAATGACACACATTTAACTGTATCTATAACATTTTATAATCCAATAATCGATTAAATGATTGATCAATTATGTTAATAACATTTAGTTGCAGCCTTGGTACAGATGCTTGCTTTCCCACTACATCTGGTTTCTCCTCCCTCACACACTCATGTACATACACATGTAGCATTGTGCCAGTGACCCAATTTTGCATGTGGAAACACATCTGCACCCACTGACCCAGTTATGCCACACAACCTGCTGCATTTATAAATGTTTTAGTCTCTTGAAGAGACAGACTACAGGAAGCACACACAGACAGACACACAGACACACAGACAGACACACAGCTACAGACACACAGCTACAGACACACAGACACAGACACACATATACAGACACACAGATAGACACACAGACACACAGATAGACACACATATACAGACACACAGATACAGACACACAGATACAGACACACAGATACAGACACACAGCTACAGACACACAGACAGACACACAGCTACAGACACACAGTACAGACACACAGACAGACACACAGACAGACACACAGTACAGACACACAGACAGACACACAGCTACAGACACACAGACAGACACACACACAGAGAGACAGACACACAGACAGACACACACACAGATACAGAAACACAGACAGACACACAGCTACAGACACACAGACAGACAGACACACAGACAGACAAACACACAGACACACAGATACAGACACACACACAGACAGACACACACACAGACACACAGATACAGACACACAGCTACAGACACACAGACAGACAGACACACAGATACAGACACACAGACACACACACAGACAGACACACACACAGACACACAGCTACAGACACACAGCTACAGACACACAGCTACAGACACACAGACAGACACACAGCTACAGACACACAGACAGACACACAGTACACAGACACACAGACAGACACACAGCTACAGACACACAGCTACAGACACACAGCTACAGACACACAGATACAGACACACAGTACAGACACACAGCTACAGACACACAGATACAGACACACAGATACAGACACACAGACAGATACACACACAGACACACAGACAGATACACACACAGACATACAGATACAGACACACAGACAGACACACAGACAGACACACAGACACACATATACAGACACACAGATAGACACACATATACAGACACACAGCTACAGACACACAGACAGACAGACAGACAGACAGACAGACACACAGAACAGACACACAGACAGACAGACACACACACACACAGACACACAGATACAGACACACACAGACACACAACAGACACACAGACAGACACACAGACAGACACACAGATACAGACACACAGACACAGACACACACACAGACACACAGATACAGACACACAGCTACAGACACACAGATACAGACACACACACACACAGACACACAGACAGACACACAGCTACAGACACACACACACACAGACACACAGACAGACACACAGATACAGACACACAGACAGACAGATACAGACACACACACACACAGACACACAGATACAGACACACAGACAGACACACAGATACAGACACACAGATACAGACACACAGATACAGACACACAGGCACACAGATACAGACACACAGATACAGACATAGAGACATGGACAGATGGGTGATACCTGTAGGGAGGTGACGGTGGAGAGGTCCTTGATGCGACCCTCCTCATCCTTCAGGTTGTATCCCTCTGGCCTTTTATCTCTTTCACTCACCTTCCACAACTTAATGGTCTTATCTGGGAATCAGAAAGGGACGTTAGCCGATCACATAGGACAAGATTTAATCGGAAGTGTAAATAATAAATTAAAGGTGCTTGTTGATGAGAAGAAAGCTTGAAATCTTAAATCCCATGTGTAAACATATAATCAGAGTAAGCTTTATATAAACTTCCTCTCAAATCTGTAAAGCTAAACCATAAAATTAAAAAAGCTCTTTGACGATTTCAGCACAAGGACTCAATCAACTCACTCACTTTATCCCATGAAGTGAGTTAATAGGTAAAGATAATCATCACTCTTCAGACTGTGAGCTCTAAAAGACAGCTGACTCTAAAACTCTGGATGAGCAGACAGCGAGGTTTGTTCTATTAACACTGACTGACACGGAGAGTCTCTGCATTGAATACACAGCAGCATTACCCAACATACTGCTGAGGCAGTTCTTACAGTTTTCATACCTTCAATCATAAATAATATAGTACTTGAATAAATCAATAACAGTGCGCTCAGAGAAAATCTATGGATCTTTTAACATAGCCATAAAGTCAGAATGCACACTGATGACAGGACCTCTTACACAAAGGCACATATGCTCCTAATGCTCTACAGAAACGTGATGCAGCAACTCATTCCCTTCAGTTCAGATACAATTAGCTTTCAAACTGTCCTTTCAATTTCAACTACCCTGCCATGCTCTGTCAAACTCCCACTCCATCAAAATACCAACCAATCACATCACTACTGCCACATCTTCTGGTTCCCATAAAACGCATGTGTGTGGGTTCTCTCACCGTTGGTGGAGAGGAGGAAGTGTGCGGCGTTCTGCTGAGGCAGCCATCGGATCTTATTGATCTTCTCCTCGATCTCCAGACTCTTAAGGTAGTCGAACTCGGGCTCATGGCTCTGGAAGGTGCTGTAGACATTGTACTCTCCCTGGGAGAATGGCTCACACTTGCTCTGTGGGGGAGAAAGAGGTAGATAGATAGAACATGAGGTGAGAAATGTGCAATTATTAAGAAAGAAAATTCACCGATTACAGTTTTTTGCAGGCAGGATTTTTTAAAAGCTTGACCTGCTGATTGAATCCAAGAACTTTAACCGGTAGCGTACAGAAATATTTGTGTATCTTTGCTTTCGTTTTAAATTGAAATTTGTATTTTTGTATTGTATATTTATATTAGAACATTGACTAATAAATAACTGTTTCTAAAACTGCAACAACAGCACTGTTTCTGCTGTAAAAAGCTTGTTTTATAATTTTCATAATCTTCATCTTCTATAATCAGGCTGAAGAGCTTCCACAACAACATCATGATGTGTGCGTGTGTGGCTGTGAAGTTACTGATTATGGATCAAGACTCAAACTATCCTGTAGCACATGTTAATAGGAGGGTTAAATGAACAACACGTTTGAGAATCAGCCAGAAAGCTGACTATGGACCGGTGGCCGATCAATCCGAGCACCTCCATCAAATATATAACCACAGTTCAATGCGACACCCCGGCTGAAGCCAGTCAGCCATCATCTTAATCATGTAAAGGAATAGCATTGCACGGACTCTGCACAGCTCTAATGATACACTCTGTGACACAGCAGGATTATCAACTATTTATCAATCAGTCTGGACTGCAGCTGGAGGGGCACGGTGTGCGTTCATCACAGCTCCAGTAGCTGGAATGAAATGTTGTACGTGTGTGTGTGTGTGTGCGTGCGTGCGTGCGTGCGTGCGTGCGTGCGTGCGTGCGTGTGTGTGTGTTTACCTCAGGTTCCCTCTGAAAGATGACCACTCGGCCTCCTTTGTCCCCTGTGGCCAGGAGCTCTCCAGTGTGGTTGAACTCAACAGTGGAGATGATATCAGCTGGTTAGAGAAACAGATTTAGACAAAGATGGAGGAAGAGAAAGAGAGATGAAGCATGAGAGGAAAGAGGAGTGGGGGGAGGAGAGAAGGAGCAACCATTAGCTGATTGACCACACATCATCATTCATCTATATAATCTGTTTATGAATTATTGAAACAAATCAATGCATTAACATGTAAGTGGATTAAAATATGCAAATAAGTGTGAAGAGTAAAACAATATTTGATTGGTAACACAAATATTGTGCAATTGTGTGTATACTTTCAGAGAAATGTCAGACAATACAGCATCAAAACATAGAGAAAAACACACACACTACTGTTTCACACAAGGCCCAGGTGTTATCTGTAATCCAGAGTGACACACACACAATGATGCACACCATGACACTTCCAGTACACAAGATAAGAGTGTAGATTGAGTTATCTATCTTATATAATCTATAATGTAATCTATCAGCTCTGATGTGTCATAAAGTGTAAACACAACTGACAATAATTTTGCATTAAAAGATCATTTTTAATGTCATTCCTTTGCATATTAGCAACAAATGTCCCCATCACTATCTCTGTGTCGTGAAACACCAGCACAGTCTGACTCAGTGACAACGCTATGAGGAGTAAGCTTGTTATTAATCACATTTACTTTAACGTTTGATGCTTTAGTCGACATTTTGGCACGCAACTCTTCTTATTCTCCTTTCGCTTGTAGGCAGAAAACATGTTGGTATTTACAATTCCTTTAAAATCATAATAAGCCGAGTTTCAATGGAGAAGAGGTGGTATAGTATGAGAGGATGTAGGTAACCTGGTATGAAGCCATGTTAAGTTATCTCAGGTCATCTATTCTTCAAAGTTTAAATTAGCCACATTAAGCTTGTTTACTAGCCTGTTGTTCAAGATCAACAACGCCATGGTCAGGATTGGATGAATTAAAACATCCATCATCATCTAAATATTTGATGTCAGCCCAGATTTTGACCTGCTTTTTCCTCTTCCTACATTCATGCTTTTCAGTCGCCCTAAACCAAATGTATTTAGCAAAACAAGTTTGTTTACCAGCAGAAATGAACTGATTGTTCAGCTCAGTTGTGAAGTTAAAATGTGTGGTTGGACTTCCCACTTATTAATACAGTAGCTGTGTAGAAGACAGTTCATGCTGGTGACAGCAATGACTTCAGTGCTGACTGGATTTTTCTAAATGGGCAACTGATCTCAAACGTTTTAGCATCAAAAGGTATCCATACTGATGTCCCCACATAACCCCTACCAACAGACTGCATCAGGTACAGAACTGGTTCAGAATTCACACTGATTCTTTTACCGTAAAAAAAGCTTTTTGAAATAGATAGTTGTTAAGATAGATAGGATAAGATAAGATGAACCTTTATTAATCCCCGAGGGGAAATTCAGTTGTACAAAGCAGCAACAGGGTAAGCGTGAAAAAACAGGACAGCAAAGATTCACACAGGCTTGTTGGCTTTCTACAAAGTAATGCACCTGGATTAACCATGATTAAAGAGAAATATAATACATAGTAACCATGTAAGCCTGTAACCTCCCTCAAACAACAACTATGAAACAGGATTTACATTTTGTACAATGTATATAAACATATAAACAGCACTGCTTTGAGTAACTTGTGCAGTTTATGGTGGTGCTAGCTTAGCATAAACGATGACCTAGTATAAAGGTAATAAAAGTCCTGCATAATGTTGTGTCCGTGAGAACATGAAAAGCGGGCAATCTAAATTTATTTGCCTGATTACGATTCATTACTGATCATATCCTCTTCAAACCTATGTATGCCTATGCCTGCTAAAATCACAAAACCTTCAGTTTTTGTTCTTATTATTTGCAGGGTTATTGAGAGAAAGCCGCAAAACCTTTGCATCCAAAGCAGTCCCACAAGTAACACATGTGTTTATACAGCAAAGGCTTCAATCTGCTGCTGCACTACCAAATAATCAAACACCATCTTCAAAAATGTCGGATTAGATTTGAAAAAATCATTTCATGTCAGGTGCTGTATCCCACTAAGCCTCCAACAAAGGAGTCCACTGAGCTTAGTTTTGATAGAAAGGAGCCTGGTCCTCAATAAGCATGGACTGTAATAAAAAAATAGAGTGTGAAGAGTGTATTTATTGAGAGTCTGAACAATTCAAAGCTGTAGCCTTGACCATTATCTGGTGGCCTTGAGAGAGAGAGATCTTATGATGAGGGGAGGCAGGGACTGCTCCTCAATCTCTAACTCACCCTGTTACCCTCACACTTCATGTATTACTGCTTCTATCATTTTTCCACTAGTCATTGCCCTTTTTCTTGATCTCTCAGTCACGGCAGCACCTGCTTTATTCTTCAATTTCAATTTATTTAATCTATTTCAGCTTTTTTTTCAATCCCTCTCCCCCCATGCGTTCTTTTGTCATCTCTCATCTCATGTTCCCCGGTTTCTCTCTTTTGACCCATTTCACTCTCTCTTTTTCTTCCTGGTTGTCTATCCACATTCATCTCTCTCTCTCTCTCATCCCTCCCCCATGGCTCTCTTGCTGCCTGGCTGTATGTAGCTAGCTTGCATGTAGCTGTGGTGCTGATGGTGTTGGAAGAATGGATGGAAAAAGGGAGGTGGAGGGAAGAGGTGCTGGGGCGGAGGCGGTGAAGGAAGGGGACCTTCAATGAGCAGGGGTTGCCATGGTAACAGGCTGAGCCAACCAGGGGCGGGGTGTTCGTAACGGTAGCCGTATAAGGCAGTCTGGTGAAGCAGGAAGTGAGATTCCAAACCTCGCAGGAAGAAGGAGCATGGTAAAATAATTATGGCGTGGCAGTTTTTTTTTTTGCTGACAAACATTGACAAATGAATACCAGAAGGTGGACAGGAGGCACTGCGGTCCAAATTGAGGATATGAAGATAATGAATGCACATGATGGCACTAAAACAAAAACAGACCCCCAACACATGCAGTGAAATTCACAAACACACATACACACACACACGCAGCTTTAAATGCACACAGTCACGTAATGATGCAAACGTGTGTGTGCACGGCCAACACAGTTACAGATAATCGTGTCTCCACTCAAGGCGCGCAGAGAAAGAGCCGAGCTAAGCAGGAACCCACAGGAGCTGAGCACCACACAATGTAGCTGAATAAAATATGGAGCACACACTCTCACACATCCTCTGTCTGTTCTCAAACTGAACCCTCTTCATCTCTCTGTGTTTCTCTCTTTCACGCTCACAGCCATCTATCTCTCTGGTGCTCTTTATTAAAAAAGAGTACAACAGAGGAATAAACCTCCAAGAACACAATTAACTCCGGCAGAAACTAGCATCATCATCAGGACTGGCTGTGGCCCGACACCGGCCAATGTGCTGATGTAATGTGTGTGTGTGTGTGTGTGTGTGTGTGTGTGTGTGTGTGTGTGTGTGTGTGTGTGTGTGTGTGTGTGTGTTTACGGGGGGGATGTCTCTATGGCTGTCAAGCTGTAAATCAATATAGTGGGGATGTGTGTGTGTGTGCAACAGTATAGCAAGCTAGCGATGTCTGTCTCCCACAGTCCATTAGCATCAGCAGGCCTGTCTGACGCATCGCCACACTGCAGGAGCTGGAGGAACACACTGTGACTACAGTGCACCCACACAGTACACATCAACACAAAAACACACACAAACATGAATTAACTCAATGACCACACAAGCATAAAAAAGCATGCACAAGTGATGAACACTCAACACACACAAACCCTCAAATGCACTGTGAGGTGTTTACAAGGAGAGCAGCTCCTTGTAAACACCTCGTATGTGAGAATGTGCATGTTGTTCTCAGTGTTATGTCATTGTTAATTGAATATCTTTGAAAATGTGATGACAATACTAGTAATTCTAAACGACAATAAATAGCTGTGGAAATAAGTCAGCTATATGTATCTGCAACAGTTAGTTAAAATGACAAACTCTCCGTAACTCTAGCTTCTAAAATGGCAAGGATATTTTGCTTTTCTTTGTATCAAATAATAACAAACTGAATATTTCAGCATTCTGGATGATTGGTTTGAAAAAACTAGTAATTCAGGGAAATGTACCGGTAATCAGCATTTTACAATTAAAAAATGTCTAATCGATAAATCAGCAACTGAAAAATAGTTGTTGGTTTGAACCGTAGTCTGTATTAAATACTTTAGGTCAGTGCTCATCTATGGCGTCAGAGAGGAGAGGAGAGAGGAGAGATGAGGGAGGTGGTGTTGGGAGAGGGAGGTGGATTTCCTTATTTCTTTTGTGAAGGGACAGAGAGGGGAGCAGACACCCTACAGACCCAATTATAGATATCTTAGGACTGGGTAAACAAGGACCATTAAAGCCAAGCCAAAAACGCACACCCCTTAAAAGCGAGGACAAGCCAGAGCTCAGCAGGAGATTAGTGTGTGTGTGCTGCAGCTCAAACACCCCACATTTCCTGTGTATGTGTGCACAAGTGTGTATACTCAATTACCCTGTAGAGAAATAGACTGGTTTGAGGGAGAGGAGGGAGGCGAGGGGGGAGACTGCCGGAGGGAGATGTTAAATTGATCCCTGTCCTGCAGTTTTGGAGTTATCTGCAACAAAAAAACTGGTGCCTGTGTTTGTGTTAGAGGTGCACATGTGTGTAGAGGAGTGATTTAAACCGGGCACAGCAGGGAAGCTGCCATTTCTCCAAACACACACCGGCACAATGGAGCAGAGCTAGTGTGAGTCTAATGGTTATATAGACACAAACAATTAGAACTACAGACCAGCCAGCTTCAGCGTGTGTGAAGTACACCTGTCATCCTGCTCTGCCCCGCTGCAGAGACATCTCTCAGCTGAGTGATTCATTTTTGATGGAAATCAATTTGTTTTTCCAACAGATTTGCCAGACTGTAACATCAAAAAAGATTAGGGGCTTAGCTGGTTTACACCCAATATAACCCCGGCTATACTGAACACACAGATTATGTGTTAAAGCCTCAGAAATACTGCGATGTAATCCCATATTCAGAACGCTCTTGCCCTTCTGATGCTACTCCTATCTTTCTGTGTAGAGCAGAGACGATTAGTCGATGGACGGAAAGTTATTCTGCAATGATTTTGAAATGTAATTAATTAATTTTTTTTCAAGGAAACAATTAAATAAATGCCCTAGTTCCACTTTCTCTGGTGTTATTTGTTGTTGATCTCTTCAGTCTTTTGTGAAAGCAATATTAACACTTGTGGACTGCTTGTCGGCAAAACAATCATTTTGAAGGCAAGCAGGCATTATATAACGTTTGAGATATTTTATAAACACACAAATGAGTCACAAGTTGGGAAAATAATCAGCAGATGAATTGATAATGAAATAATCGTGGGATGCAGCCCTGCTTGTGTGGTATGAATGTCTGCACAGTCCATAGAAAGAGCGTCTGTGTGTGTCTTCTTCTGTTAAACAGAGGAATAGGTAAGAAGTATGCATCGAAGGGGACAGGGTGTGGTCTGGTTAAGCTATTTAAAGAAACTAAATCCCACACTCACACATAATCCACACTAAAGCAGGCAGTCTGAGACAAAAATAAAGAGGCAGGTACAAAAATAGAGCCATATAAAAAATGAGGTAGACAGACAGACACAAAGTGATGTTTGAGATATTTATAACACCCACGTGACAACTCACCTGACTCACACACATGCTTTATGACACACTTTCACATTCATCCACCTACACACACACACTCATCTCACACTGGGGTCATGTGGCGCAACTGTGCGACACAGATATGACCTTCGCGAAAGAAGAGGATAGAGCACACACCTTCAGTGTAAGAGGCAAACGGCTCGGGCTCCAGAGAAAGGGTAGTGATGTCGGAGCAGAGGACCTGGATGGGGCTCAACATCCTGGGAGAGGACTCCAGGGTGGAGAGGGGTGGACAGGATGGGCGGAGCTCTTCAGGCTATAGCCAGGAGCAGCCCTGCAAGAGGAGCAAGGATGGAGGGAAAGGGAGGAAGGGAGGAGGGCAACAGGGAGGAGCAGAGGGAGAGGAGGGAAGGACCAGGGGGGGTGGGATGGGCAGGGACTAAGTTACTGCATCACCACAGCTGGCCATGAAAGAAAATACTGATACTGTATTTATGATCATTCTGTATCTAACAGGATGTATTCACATGTTGGGTTTGGCAGGAAAGCTTGCAACACATGCGGGATAGAGACAGAGATACACAGAGAGTTTTAGTGTGCCTCTGATCTGAGATAAGGTTCTGCAGAAGAACGTAAAAAGAAGCAAAGTAGCTCTTACATTTTCCTAGAGGTGATCGACAGTGATTGACAATTAAAGAAGAGCAGTGAGAGCTGGCGAAAGCTCACGTACTTGCATACAGGTATGATGACTAACAATTACTGTCATTATTGATTGGTCTGTCTGTTCAAATGTCAAACATAACGACATCTGCTCATCACAAAAGCCCAAAGCAATCTATAAACCTTTAAGTTTGTGTTAAAAGTTTAAAAACCCAAAGGAATACAGTTTGAAATGATGTGAAATTAAGACATGTTGGTCAGTATTAATGTTGAGCGAATGTTTGGTATTTTAAAGTTACTTATACACATTTTCTTAAATGTACCATTTAGTGGTTTTCACTTGACAGCATTGATGCTTTTGTATACAGGGCTAGTGTGCTTGTATTTCTATGTTATATGAATGACATGATTTAATGTCATTAAACTCTCAATAGATAGCAATTGCGAATTTTTATGTAAAATATAATTGTTATTATTTCCTCATTCAGCATTGAACCCAGTCAGGGTCAGGGTGTAGCAAAAGGAGATGTTGGGGAGGTCAAAATAAGGGAGAGGGAGGGAGTAAGAGATTGAGGGAAGTGGGGAGGGCAGGGAAGGAAGGTAAGGTAGAGGGAGGTTAAGCATCCCTCCTCTGAAGGAATTAAAGGGCAGGGGAATCCCCACGGGAAGATCTACACACTGTATTTATGCGCGCACACACACATACACATATAAACACACAAAACCCTTCCAGTCCGACCAACATACACACATAAACCTGAGCAAACAAAAGCAACACAGTGTGCACTGATTGAAACACACGAGAATATGAATGCAACACAGGCAACAACAAAAAAAAAGATGGAGACACACAGGAGCTAACAAAATACACCCAAGCATAAAATCACATGCACCCCCTCTCTCTGCCTTTCTCTTTTACACACACATAAAGAGGTACATTGTGTTGGAGCAGCCTTTGGAGCATTGTTGGATAATTGTTTGGCAGACGCGCCACTTCAGCAATGGGCAACGCTGCGAGTTGCATTAAAGGAGCGACGGCGAGAGGGAGAGCGGGAGGCAGTGGGGGATGGAAATGGGGAGGAGGACGACGGGGGATGGGGTGAACATTGAGGAAAGGTGGAGGGGGTTGGAGTGGATGTAGAAGAGGAGGCAGGTAATGATTCATTTTGTATATTTGTGGCGGAAATGTATCCTCTTTGGTCATTCTGAGGATTGTTGTGAGATTGATTTTCAGAGCACAGTTTGTAATTATCCTTCTGCAACTTAGTATTTTAGTGCTCTCCATGTGTTGTACCTCCTTTCAGACCCACAGTGTTCAGGGGTGAGTCCACCTTGCTCTGAGCTCATCAACAATTCACCCTGAATAATGTGTTTCTGCCTGAGATGTGTGGAATAATTAATACTGCCATTATTGGTGGGTGGAGACGACCTGTCAGTCATATTGGCCAAGCATGAAGCGGCATGTTTATCATCCCGGGCTGTTGCTATAGCAATAATGAATGGTTGGTGATGGATGTTAAGACTGATTTTCTGCCACTCACTCATTAAAATTGTTCCCTAGGTAAACAAAAGACACACGTTTCATACTGTGTGAGAAACAAAAGTCACACACACACACACACACACACACACACACACACACACACACACACACACACACACACACACACACACACACACACACACTCTTTAATCTTCTTAGCAATCCAATGTGTTGAATGCACACACCAGCATTTACACAGTCAACAGGCAGCACTACAGGTCTCCCCTGACTATAGTATGTGCTTCTGTGTGAGGGCTATTATATTACAGCACAGACACAGGAAGCATGATTCCCTTACTGCAGTGATACAAATGAGCTCGCAACACGTTCATGACCCCCAAATGATAATCCGTTGTTCTTGTATAAGAGGCGTGGCGAACAATGAGCTGAGTATAAGAAACAGATTGGGGACAGGAGGGTGGACAGGGAATCTAATGTGCAGGTGAGATTAGTGGTGTAAATGAGATTAGCAGAAGTGGGTTATCCAAGATTATAATCCATAGATGTTATGAAACAAACCAAAATCATTATTTGGTTTGCAGAGCTTGTGTGGGCATATTAGTATTCCTCCGGCTGGGAGGTGATACTCAATATATTCAACTTGACACCATGCTTGTGTGTGACTCTATCAGGATGTGAGAGATGACAAATGAGTAAAAAAAAAAGAATGTTCTGGACATTTCTGCTATGACAATATTCTCCCACACAAACAGAATCATACACACATTCGAACACAGGCCAGATCAATACTTCCCTGCAGTGGGACAAAATAGCTGTTTCAAAAGGTTACAACACATACATAAACAAAAACACAGAAGTGAAAGGTGAAGAAGAGATGAGGAAAGGAGGAGGAGAAGAAAACTGGCTTTAGGTGGCTTCATTTTGCAGAGAGGACAGTGTTTAACTCCCTAGATCTTGTTGCTTCGTCTGCAACTCTGCTTGATCAACACGAGCTTACAGAAGATTAGGAAGCCGTTCTGAGCTTGTTTTTGCATACCAACTCTCTGTTACACTCACACACGCATTCCAGAAGTGTGTCACATAAAAAGCACACTCACATGGGGGCACACACACTTTGTTACATCCAGCAGATGCAGCTTTCTCCCTCCTGGTCTTACCTTCAGTCACATAGTTGTGGTCGGGGAGGAAGCCGCGGTGGTTGAGCGTCGGGGGGGCGTCAGTGTCTTCGCCCATCAGCGGGGCTGGGGGAAGCGCCCGACTCGGTGGGGCAGCGTGACGGTGGCAGATCGGTGGTGGAGGGGGTGGTGGGGATGCCGGCCAGCACAGAGCCCATACTGTTGCCCGCAGACGCCTCCTCAGCACAAGAGCGCAGAGCGGGGCATCCTTTCCTTAGAGGAGGGGGTGGGCCTGTCCCGAAGGAGGGATGGATGCGTGCTGGAGTCCACACTTCTGAGAGCCAGAGGCAAATCTGCAGGAGGAGGATCATATGAAAACTGTTCAGAAACTACCAGGGGTGTGCTTGATTTGTGTCTCACAGGAGCTCAAATCACTTGTGAGGCAAGAAAAATCTAGCGCACCCTGTGTCCACTCAGCAGCTGCTGAGTCCAGGTGTGGCCAGACTCATTTTACTCTCGCCACACACAAAACACACACTTGTCCACACTTGTTAATGCTTGTTAACGCTCTCAAAACAAGAAAAATAAAGGAGATGAAGAGAAGGTGGAGGAGGAGGAGAGTGGGGGGAGGGGAGAGAGGGATCAGGAGAGCCCCTGGACGGTGTATCTGCAATGCTGCTGCTTCTGCAGTGAACTCACACTCATGAGCACAATCATACAGCTTGATAAACACACACTCACCTCCACACTCTGAGGATTGTCGGTCAGGTTCTCCTCGGCGGATCCTCCATAAATAACGTGTCTCTCCTCCTCAGGGGACAACTGTCTCTCTGGTTTCTCGGCTGATTGTATGAGGAGGAAAATCCTTCTGGCCCTGCGTTCTGCTGCACCGCTCTGGCGTATGTATGCAAGGCAGAGTGAGAGGTAGAGAGAGGGGGAGGGAGAGAGAGAGAGAGAGAGAGAGAGAGAGAGAGAGAGAGAGAGAGAGGTTGAGGATCTTTCCTGCTGCGCTGGTACGTGTGTGGTGCATCGAAGCAGGTCCCGCCCACTCCTCTGCGCAGCCAATCGTCACAGAGCTGAGATCTGCCTGGCCACTGGCTGCAGGTGATTAAATATGATAAAGAAACAGAGAGTTGTGACTGATGGGAGAGAAAGCAGAGGGAGCAGGAGAGGGGATTTTTGCTTGACTGAGTGCTGAATGTGAATCACAGTACAGTTACTACTCGAGGATTCACCTGGAGACATAATTCAATTAGCACTGAGAAAACACACACACACGCACACACTTTTCATACACAGCAGAATCTAAACTGTCAGCATTGGTGATATGACTGGGAAATAATTTGATTGATTGATAATTTGGAAACAACGCTTTTGCGCTTTCTTTTCCAACTGTATCCTCAACTTTTTGAATTGATCAGTTGTGACACTGACCAAGTTGACATGTTCAAATTGTCTTTTTGTCTGACTAAATGCTCCATAACTTAAGGCTAAAAACATACTTTACTATCAGTTTAAATATGTACAATTATTTTGTAATACATTTTCACAATTACTGTTTTATCAATCAAGCTCAAGTTGGTAGCATACTCAAAACAAGACTGAGCAGGATAAAGACTTTCTGTTTTAAATCACCCTTCCCTTCTTTGCACATTAGTTTGATTACTTTATATGGGATCTTGCATTCATTTGCCATATTGCAATATCAACATTAGAAATTAGCCTATCCGTATTAATAATACGATAAATAGTTCAAGCACATAGCTAAAAAAAAGGGACCAGAAGTGAATACTAACTGTAATAGCAATCCTTAAATTCACACACACACAGGTTTCAGTCTGCAGAGTGTGAGGGGCTGCCAGGGACAGTTGGTGCCATCACTGGTGCTGGCTGTCTGCCACCAGACTGTAAACCCCCCCACAGCAGGGAACAAGAAGAGCTGTTTATCTGACTTACTCCAAGACTGCCAGCATCACCCTCCCCCAACTATTACTAATGATGGGCAATGCTCCACTGGCATATCTGCCCTTCTAACTACCCCCCGCCAGCCTAACATCCACCACAAAGCTCCCGAAAACCCACCCACTGTTTCCCATCTATAGCTACTGTTCTACCTGCACGTCTCTCTACCCATTCACCTCAACCATATGCCACAAAGATCCCCCTCTGGTTAAATCCATAAACCCATACGGTTTGGTGTTCAGCTCTGACTGAAGGTCCCACCAGTGTAAGATCTGACCCATTTGCCAAACCTAAAGCAAAAGGAGAGAGAGACAAAATACAATACATATTTTGTTTTGTTTTTCATTATTTTTTGTATTTTGTCCCATTTTATTGTATTCTTATATATTAATGTATATGCTCCTCATTTTTATTTCTAAATATGTTTTATAATAATACATTATTCTTAATGTGTTATCTTGTGTTGTGTGTGTGCACCTATGGTGTGCTCCAATAAACCAAAGTAAATTAATTGTGTGTGATAACCTACTTGGCAAAAGTCTGATTCTGATTCTAATAGATAGCTAAAATCTCAGCTGATATATAGACAGAGAGATGGATAGAGACAATAAGAAGGTACAATTATGCAGCTTGCACAGGATAATATAATAATTCAGCATGCACAGGATTTAATCCGTTTTTGTGATGTGGAATGGAAACCCCATGTGGAAAACACCTGCTGCAACACCAGTCTGATGTAGTACGGAAGTACGACTTTTTGGCAATATTCAACCCATAGAAAGCTACATATTATAACACTTTAACTTAAAGAAATTACTATTATGTAGACTTAAATCTGTATTAAAAAATGTTGAGGTCTAAAAACTCGCTCCGAAACAAACAGTATTAACTTGACAACCATTGAGAGTTGTTAGCCGTATGGCATTGCTATGGCTAACGTGCTAGCAGAGAGATAGCTCTAGTTACTTAGCTAACATTGGGGCGCAGTGCTTCTAGATAGAACATACATAACGATGTCACTGACCTTTAAACTCTGGCTTGTCCACTTTTAATGGTAGAAATTAATAAAATAAGATCTTATTGAAAGGAGGCAAAAGCGGATAGGCCTACAGTAGGTAGACACTGACTGTCCTCCCTCTCACAGTGTCAAACCCTCATCATCATAGTCCCTTCTTTACCACAGTAAACATCCTCATCACCCCTGCATGTGGCAGGTTTTTCAGGGACAGTAAATCCTCTGCAGCTTGTCCTTGTTAACCTGACAGTGGTTTTCCGGTCTGTCTGCCATCCAGCTGTGAAGGCTTGGCCTAGGGGCCAGCCCTGTTACCTCGGTGACAGATAAGCTGACCACCCACCATTCCAAGCATCACTTTAACCCTTTGATGTAGACAGGGATGTAAAGTGACTAAGTAGATTCACTTAAATACTGTACTTAAGAACAATTTTGAGGGCATTGTACCCTACTTAAGTATTTTTATTATTTTGAGTTTGTTGTGGCATAAGCTCACGGCAACTCAAGAGTCTCAATAAGTTTATCTATGAACTTTGTTAATATGATAAAGAAAAGCAATTACCAGTATATTGTTATCTCAACAATATACACAATAAGGCTGATTGTTTGATTTTTTTGGGTAAAACACTTCATGTACTCAGTTGATCATATATTTAAGGTTATAGGATATTGTAATATAATTATTCTTTATAGGCCTACATTGGAAAGCAGCTCAAACATTTAAAACCAAAATCAGTTTAACATTGGTCACACCCAAAATCCCCCAAATATCTCTCTTACCAGATACAAAGTATAATCTCAGACATAGCTTTTAATATAGACAAATGGATTTCTGCAGATGGAGGGAGTGGACTTTAAGGCAAAATTCAGGCCCACAGCCGCTCAACGTGATAATGATCAGCATCATTCATCAGGAGCACCGATGTGTCCAACCAGACGCAGCACTGCTTGTGAGTGTCTGTCTCTGTTGACCTGTGGTGCTTCACTCTCTTCCCACCCCCACTCCAACCAGGGTTGCTTAGCGACCATAGAGCAGCCTATGGAGAACACACGCACACGCACACACACACACACACACACACACACACACACACACACACACACACACACACACACACACACACACTTGGAAAACCCGGGAACTCTGAAGGAGGAAGATAATGTACTGGCACTCCACCCCTCCATCATGCTCTGTGACCCCCAAAATGTGAAAAGAAACAGCCGACCCTGCTGTCTGCTGGAGGAGATTCAACTCAGTAACCGTGGCCCAGTGACTACTTCTCATGCCTTGGATACACACTAAGGATGAAATGATATGGAGGTTTAATCGCAGATTGAAAATACTGGAATTATCATGTAAAAAACAAAACAACTCACACATTTTGTTATTTAGGCAGGCAGGAAGGTGATGATTTATTATTACCTTATTTAAGATTGTTTATTTATTCTTCAATAAAAAGATTGTGTCCGTTCTGTGACGAAATAAAAGTGTATGTTCCTTTAAAGTTTGTTTTGTATGTTTTAGTGCTGTTTGAAGAGTTGTAGGCCTATTTTGATTTATATTGCAATATTGTCAATCGCTTGAATCAAAATGCTCATATCTTCTCATAACTAATGTATATGTATGTACACATTAAGTCCATTGCCATAGTAAAAAGCTATCCTTGCACTCGTACAGCACAAGCATGTAACAGAATAGTGAAACAATCAGCCTCTTTGACAAAAAGCCCTTGTTATCACGTCATATCTATATCCAGAACCTCGCTTTACATTTTGTAATTGTGACTGATCACCGATGGATATAAGCCTGCAGCCATGAAATCAGCTTCCCAACAGACAAAGGACTTGAAAAGAGGAAAGTTAGAAGCTCAGCAGCGTCTCCCCAGTCTAACACTATTAGCACATTAAGCAAGTGCTTAAATACAGTCAGCAGACGATGGATCAACGCAGTGCCCTGAGCGGGAGACAGCACTGTAATCCCCTAAAGGGGGTTTCACTGCAGTAATGGCAACCAGTATGAAACCACAGCCTCTGGGGAGTAGTGGGACTGGGTAGATTATGAGCAGCCTTCAGGCGACGCTAAACCCCTTATAGCCCTGACACACACACACATACACAAACACACACACATACACACACATACACACACACACTCACACAGAAAAAAGAAACATGTAAGTGTGCACACCTAAAACTATAAAATCCATGAGAAAACACACTTTAGCATGCTGGAATATGGAAAATATAAAGACAAAGCTGTGTGCATACAAACGAATATCCAAGAGTGTAACCTGACTGATTCCATTTACATCTCATCCAAGGAGGGGTAAATATTCCATCTTTGTTTATGTCTGTATGACACATTTGGGGAGAAGGGTGCAGTAACTAGGATGTCATTTTACTCCTGGATTATGGGATGGTGATGGAATGACTTTTTTGGCCAAGGGCAAGTAGATGGCAGGAGGTTGAGAGTGTTATTATTTCTGGTAAATTAAAGCAGCAGCCTCAGGGGCAAGAGAAATACACCAAAACATAAAAGGCAAAGGGCACATTATAGCCTGATCCCTGCTGTGAAACACAATGAAAACACTGTGGTCAGGTGGTGATAAAACACTGTGAGTACGTGGTTAGATGACAGTTATTGTTTCATGCCGACTGTGAAAACAAACAGAAAGGTTGAATTTATACCAAATCAAATCACTGTGGAGCTATTATAAATGGGCAAAATGAATAAATCTGGTTTTACCAAGTCCCAGAAGGGCAAAACTGTGGGTAAATCAGCAAAAATAAATGAGTGGGGCTACAGTAATACATATTTTTATTGTTGATTATTTTCTCAATTATTCGTTTAGAGGTTTAGTCTGTATAATGCCAGAAAATAATGAAAGTGTTGACAGAAATCCCAAGACGATGTATAGTCAGATATTTAGTGTACTGACCAATAAATCAATTATTAAAAATAATTGGTGAATAATTTAGTAATTGACAACTAATAAATCAATAAATATTTGCAGCTTTAGCTTTGAGTGGGTGTATTATAATATATCGCCATACAACATACCTTTATATACTTTTACAGACCTTTTTCGCGTTGTTGTGTAGACTTTCCAGACTGTGCTCAACTGTTCATTTGTTGCCCCCCGGAGAAAAGCTGCTTAGAGCGGAAAGGAGATTACATATAACCAAATATACAAAACACTGCAAAGCCTATTTGACCCCTGCCTATGAAAACATACACAAACACCTATTTTGAGACCCTGCATATAGATTTGTGTATAAATCTGACCCGACGCTTTCATCCGCACATAAATACAGTACTTACTTACAGTATTTTCTCTTAAATGGTCTGTAAGAGCCTGAAGCTTTACTTAGAGGGGATTCAATCCTCTCATATTAACAGTAGTTCAATCACTCTCACACACACCGCCTTGATCCAACCCATACATATAATAATATAAAACTCTACAAGCAAGACCTGTAACCATTCACAGAGCAAATGTAGGGTTGGCCTCTGGCTCTCAAAACGGTTGAATTTGTATAACTATGTCTGTAAAACCCAGAGGGAGAGACAGACACAGGTGACCTTTGGGGGAGGGGAGGTCACCGGATGGGGTCACTGAATGTAATCTTTAAATGACCAAAGCAAGGACTCAGCCGCCTGGGGAATACATGGCTGCAGCTCGGCCACGCTCAGCCGTTGAGTGTGTGAGAGACAGAGTGAGTGAGAGACAGAGACAAATGTCTCATTAACCTCCACACATCCCTCATGCTCAAGGCATCTTTATAGGCCTTAGTGTGAGTGATCGGGCACAGACCCAGTCTTCATTCATTCATCTGTGTAAAAACACTTTTTGTAGATCAGATGAAGCAATTTGAGGCTTCCACACTCCGAGACAATGAAACCAGGCAACCTACCAAAGTTAGTGACTTTAGCATCAATGTAATGTATTGTTTGTGTAACTACCCCTTTAATGCATCTCACAAAGGAAACATTGCCTATATAGTGGATACATTTCATAACAAAACTAGAGGACCTTTAGTGGATATGAAGTTATTTAACTCATATAAGTTTCAGTTGATTAAAAAAGCAAAAAATAAGATGGTGGATTTTGGAACCATCACTCAAATTAAATTAAATGAGAGAAATGTTTTAGCGCTGATGTGGAGGTGAGGACTTTTCAAACATAGAGGCATGAGCATATTGTTAATATGACAAACTGTAAACCTTTAACATGTAATAAAGATGGACAGAAGAAAAAACAATGTGTTGGATACTTTTAAGGACTATTGTTAAAAAAGGACTAAACTGCGTAACTCCAGAACAACTTTTTCCTACACTAAAATACAAGCCAATTCCAGGCTTGAAATTGGGTTTTTCTGCAGGTTAGCACAAGGACCAAAAGACTCATGTACTCACATTTAGATTTTGCATTGTAAGCACATGCTTACAGACTATGACCATGAGAGGGTTGGCATGATGACATAACTGCATACATCAGGGAAAAATATCTGCAAATATAGGGCACATGGTGAAACATGCTGACAGCAACACTTTTATCAAAAATCTATTTGCAATGATGTCCAAATCCATTTCGAGGCATCCTTTGTATGTTCACCCTGCCCCCTGGTGTCTGGAAAATAATGGTGCAACAACAGTAGATGGTACTGAACAAGGAAATATTTGACATACCTACAATATTTTATTTCACTTTGCAAGAACAGGGTGGGAAACTATAGCTTCTTTAACAACATGAACTTTCCATTTTACACCACATCAAAGTTTGAGGATATGGGCATACATACAGTAAGCACCATTTTGAAGGAACAGACATGCTATCCTACGTTTGCATGCCACGTGTCTAAATCTAATACCAACTATACTTTCTTTATTAGCTGTGTGAAAAACATTATTTTGTAGATCATTCAGTTCGTAATGAACAGGTGCTTTGGTCTGTATAGTTACTTTCCAATGACAAGAAAAGCATCATTGTAAGATCGTGTCATCTTTGAGAAGGTTTTTTCTTTACATCAATAGAGAATATTTCATCATATTTTCACGGATGATTATATCCATCCATTTAATACACCTAATACAAAGCTTTCCTTTTGAGTGTGACCCATAATTATGAGATTGAATCTTAAAATAAAATAAAGACACTCAAAATGTATTTTGACCATGTATTAAATAAATATAATACAATTTAATGGTGCTTTTTTTTTTATTACTTCACATCAAGTATGAAAAAACCCAAATCCTTGAATGGGGAAATAGGCAGATAGGCAACTGTGAAAGAAGAAAATAAATTGCAGAGCCATCACTTTTTAAACGTTTTCAAATGGGATTAGGGGCTATTTCGGGCTCCTGCTGTTCGTCCATGTAGTAGGGGTCTCCTTGGTGGACTCTGTGATTGTGCACCCTCAGGTTCCCTCTGTGGGCAAATCTCTTCCCACACTCTGTGCAAGCAAAGGGTCTCTTCCCCATGTGAACGTCCCGTTGGTGGGCTCTCAGGTTCCCACTGCGGGCAAAACGTTTCCCGCACTGGGCGCAGCCGAAAGGCCGCTCCCCTGTGTGTGTGCGAGTGTGCACAGTCAGCTCAGAGGGGGTGAGGAAACTCTTGTCACAAAACTGACAAGGATGCAGTCTTACTCCTGTGTGGCGTAAAAGGTGTCTGCGCTGGTGGGAGGGGTAGGTGAAGCACTTGGTGCAGTATGGGCAGGTGTACGGCCGTCCATTCGCTGCAGCAGGAGCTGGAGGATGGCTGAGAGTGTGTGTGTGTCGCAGAGCCAGCGACTGGGAATTCGACTGTGTGCGGAGAGGGTCTCTATTGCCAAAAGTTGAAACCCGCCGTGTGTGATTGACGGGGCCTCTCCCTCCCCTGTCATCTCTGGGTCTCCATGGAGATTCCCCAGGTGGGGCTTGAGGCTGAACCTGCACAGAGTTCTGATGGGAGATGTGGTTCTCAGGCTCCTGGTCCAGAAAAGGGAAGGAGCTATCGTCGTCTTCGTTGCTGGTCTCGTCAGAGCCAAAACCCCGTCTGAAGCAGAGTGTGTCTGTGCCGGCGCTGCTGCCAGCTGGACCAGAGCAGCTGGTGCCTTCGGCCTGCAGGTTCTCCAGACCGGACACCCCACCTTTGGTGCCGTCCAGCCCTGGTAACCACTCCCCTGGTTGAGCTAGCCCAGGGTCAGGCCTGGGGGAGCAACGTCCGCTCTGGGAGATGGAGAGGAAAGGGGTGGAGGCTTGATCCCGGACAGATCTGTGATCTGCACCGCCCTGATCCCAGTGAGACACTGCAGGGATTAGGAGGAAGGGACAAGTGGTATGGTCACTACCGTGTAGAATTATAATTAAACTGTTCAATACTAAACCAAGCATTTTTTGATTTATACATTAACACATTTTCAGCATTATTATCATTTACACTGTTGTTATAGAGTTTTTACATATTTTTTTATTTAAATGTTTCCATATTTATTAGTGTTATGTATGGTAGCATAACACAAATATTTAACATACTTATTTCTTAGTAATAAATTATATTCCAGAATACGAGCAACTGTAGTGTATAGACCTAATGTATACCTAATGTTCCTCATAGGGACAAAGTAGTTCTGATCTTACATTTAGCCTTGGCTTGTGTAGCAGACAGGGTATGTATCTTCCTCTGTTCTCCAGCAGCAAGCGTTACCTCTGGGACTTGGACTGCCACAGACCCCACTGTAGGTTGTGATCCAGCATGCTGTGAACAATAAGCAGCACAGATCTGTAAGACACAGAAAAGCCAAAAGCAAATGTCACTTTATTCAGGCTGCAGATATCATTATAGCTTCTTAACTTCAATTTTTAGGACATCCGACTTTTAAATCATTGAGGACAGGGTCTGACCTCATGTTTTACTGAAGCTCCATCCTGGCCTGTGACCTCTTCTTTCATCCCTCTGAGGCTCTGACTGAGTCTTTCCACTGGGTCCAAATGAGAAGACAAATCCTTTCCCACATTTAGTCCTGTGTAAGAAAAGTGTAGGTGGTCAGTGCATCAGTTAAATGATAGGGATGAGAACTTGATTACAATTGGGGCTTATCCACCTGCAACAATGCAAAGGATAGGGATATTTAGAAGAAGCACCAAAATCTTGTCCTTAGGTAAAGTAGTAACACTATAGTGTAAAATACTCTATGCTCTATAATTGATTATATTTTGTATTAACAATCTTCCAGTTGTTCTTTCAGACAAAAGGTGGTATTCCCCTCTGAGGTGTAGTGGAAAAGAAGTATGCATCTTGAAATAGCAAGATAATAACAAGTACCTCCACATTTTCCATCAGTACAGTACTTGTAGTTTACTTAGTTATTTCACCAGCTATACATCAAAAAAATATGGAATGGTTTGACATACAGACTTGGTTACAAGATGATACAACTCTACCAGTGCACTGTCCACTTTCATTAGCATTTTTCTGACCCAAGTAATTTTTCATGAAATTCTTAAATACCATGTGAGCTGTATTACCTGATATGTTGGGGGTCTGCTGCCTCGTGCTGCCCTCTCTGTCTCCTGATGACAGCTCCCCTTCCTCGCTCCCTCCACCCTTACGCCTCCTCTCCACTTTCTCAAGCCTGCCTCTGAGGATGGAGATCTCCTCAGTTTTCTGCGCTAGCCTCGCCTGCTGCTCACACAGGCTGCTCTCAAAGATCTTGGCGATCTCGCAGACAGCTGCAGCCAGCAGGGAGTCCATGACGGTGGCCAGCTGAGCGTGGAAAGCACTCCTCACCGTCTCCATTGTGCTTTGTTTCAGGAAGGATGTTTTAATGTCAGTGAGGGATTGACACCAAGGTTTTATTCAATGGTTTGCCTCCAGTGACAGTCGAGGAAGATGTGTCTACAGCGATGTGCACTCCTCTACCCTGGAACTATGATCTGCCACACAATGTTGCCATGCTAAGTACCTAGGCCATTTCTATTATTAATATATGGCAGCAAGTTGCTTTTATAGTACAATCTGATTGTTATTAAAAATCTGCTGTGCGGCTGTTTTAGATATTTCAATAAAAATGACAATGGTGTCCAGGCTTTATTTGTTGAGCTAACGCTAAAGCAGTGATGGCAAACAACGTGGTGCAATGCAGTAAGCCGGTTTGTTTAGTTGATGAGCATTAACACAATTACAATTAGCTACAAGAAACATGCTGTTGTAACAAGCAATACAGTAAGGAAACTAACAAGCTAACGTGTAAACAAGGGAGCCAACGAAGCGTAACCAGTGCTAGCCTGTGTATAGTCCAGGTGCTAGTTCAAGCTACTACTCTAGCTAACTGTTTACCGGCAATGGAAACAACCAAACAAGCTGGTCGATTCTGCAATGTATCTCAACAGAAAGCGACCAAATAGCTTATCTGGCATAAATAAAATCCATGAAACGATGCAGCGACACGGCGTCCAACTAACTAGCAGGTTGATATCATTTCTGTGATTTGATGGTTGCAAGTCTCGCGATAACAAAGATGAGGATTCAGGTACTGCAGAAATCAAAGAGCCAAAATAAATGTAAATTATGTCATATACTGAAAAACACTTCAATTGTTGTGATGAATTCCTGGACTGAAAACAACTCTGCTGCTCCCCTTAGAAAGACCAATATAAAGAATCAATTTAGAAACGGGTAAAAATAATAACAATAAAAGTATATCTATGTTATGGAGTAATTCATGATACGAGACCATGGCCCTTTCTCATTTCGTCAAATCCCCCTCCTCGACTCCTCTGTCCTCCGGTTGTGACCCGGAAATTTATTTCAGCGCGCCATGTTGAAGGACATCTCAATTCTCTAAATGCACTTCGAGGACCGAGGATCGAGCGTCGAGGAGGCTCTCTGGAGGAGCTATAACCGAGGATACACTGATGGGTCCTCCACGGTCCTTCGCGGCTCCTTCGCGGATGCATTTCCGGGAACGTTGGGTATAAAATAGGCGTGACACACCGCTGGAATCATTTCAAAACCATGGCGGGAGCAATGCACAAATGTAAGTGTTGACAATGATACGTTGCATTAGTTATTTAAGAAGTGAAATGCGCGATCCAACTCCGCCCGTCTGTATGCAGTTAGAGCCCTCTAACCGCATTCCTTATTGACATTTCACCTGATATTCTTTATGTTTTTATCCACATTTTAACTACACCCAATCCTGCTACAGCATGCCATGATGTTTAAAAGTGCAAACGTTAATTTTTTTGTAAGAGTGTTAAATCAACCAGAACTTTGTTTAGCATTCAGCACCATCATTTGGTTTGGGCTATGTTGTACACTAGAATCCATCGCTCATTACAGTCTGTAAATCTTCCAACAGTTTTAAGCTACACCTTTTACTTTGTCTTTTCACAGGGACAGAGCAAGACACTCTGACCCTCATCAAAGTGAGGGTCGAGAACGATAACCTTTTTACTGGCCGAAGGCACACTGCCAAGAAAGCCTGGGAGTGAGTGACATTTTCCTGGATTGGGAACATAATAGATCCGTATTTTACGGCCATGCATGAGGCCATCGGTGGGAGGCCATCCATCGACCCTCCCACCCTGATGGACTCGGCCACTGCTGCTGTGGCTTCTGGCAGTGGCTCAACATCCACTGAGGCTGTCCAGAGCCAGGCCACAGTGGAGGATGAGGAGGCCACAGAGTCTGGCTCGGACAGCCAGGAGTGTGTTGAGCCATCCACCTCTGCCGGTCCCCCTCCCCGAAAAAAAAGAAAAAGCGCTTTGCTACAGTTCCTGGAGGCAGAGGCGGACAAGGAGGAGGACCGCTTCAACCGCCAGCAGGCAGCCTCGGAGGAAGCCTCCGCCAAATTCCTCAAGCTCTTCGAGGAACTAGTTAGGAAGGAATAGTGTCTTTTTTTTCTTCTTTTTTCTGTACTTTGGATGTGTTCATTTATTCTTTATTTATATATTTACAGGTTGACCTTAACTCTTGTGTGGTGTGTTCATATTTCTGTTATTCAGCCAGTGTTCGTGGGTCTGGTGGACCCGAACACCCTGTATGTAATATAAATGTGTAGGGGGGGTACAGTGGGTGGTCACTGAAAATGTGTTCTGATATCTGTTCTTCACAGAAAATTCAATTCAAATCCTTTATTTATCCAGGTGAAATCCCATTGAGATCATTGATCTCTTTTTCAAGGGAGACATGCAGAGCCAAGGCCATTGAGTGAGTTAGAGAAAATAAATTATCAATTTTCTTTAGAAAAATAATAAACGGGTCCCACAGACCCGAACACCATACAAGGGTTACATCAAGCATGAAGCCTTCTTTACAATTAGACATACAGAAACACACATGTTTACTGAAGATACAAGGAGATCTTTATTTTATACAAAGCTGAATATACATTTTATGATTGTGACCTGACTGAAAAGCCAACGTTTTTAAAGTCTTTTTGCAACCCAAGGCATAACTGTCTATAGTCATACAGAAAGTCATGGCCACTGATTTCCGCTTTTTAAATCTCCACCTCAAATAATTCTGCGCATAAACCAACCGTGTGTAAAGTATCCAAATGCAATATCAGGGATGTTTTATTATAAATAATATATACATTAACATTGAGGCAAGTTACTGCATGTAGCTCAAACCCTACATAAGTAAAATTGCTAACACATGTCTCTTCTTTCTTTTCAAGTTCAGTCAAAGCATAACAATATTTTATCACTGAACATGACTCAATTTCAACACTAAACGTAACACTTTCAAGAGATTGTGTGATGGCCTATTTCACATACAATTTGTAATAAAGATATGGGTCTGTAAAGTCCTTTGCTCTAAATAAACTTGAGCAAGGTGAAATTGGAAATAAGGCATATAAATGGACGAACAAAAGAACTGAGTAATGCATCTGGCCAGTAAATGCATTTTTCATCGGTGAAGAAAACAAACGGGTAACAAAAAAACTGGCCATAAATAAAAATCCTCTCAACAATAATCGTGGTCGTTCAGCTGGACCGGGTTGTGGTCAGGGGCCGAGATTTGGTCTGCCAGTCTGTCTCTCCGGCCCTGTCCACCTCGCTCCCCCCTCACAGGACGAGGTGGAGACCTCTCTACCCCCTCCTGCTGCTTCTGCTTCTCCTCCTCCTCCTCCTCCTGCTTCTGCTTCTCCTTCCTCCTCCTCCTCCTCCAACAGTTCAGTCATGTCTGCAGTAATGCTGAGATTGTGCAGTACACAGCAGGCAGTTACCACAGCAGGGACAAAGGTGTGGTTCACCTCCAAGGCCTTCGACAGGAGATACCTCCATCGCCCCTTCAGTATCCCAAAAGCGCGCTCAATGATGCTGCGCGCTTTGGCATGGCAGCCGTTGAAGCGGCTCTGTACCCTCCCCTGTAGTGGCTCCCGATACGGGGTTACGACCGTTATGGGGTGTACAATGCATGGATAGCCACCATCTCCCACAATAAAGTACCCTGGTGGAGGGTACAGAGCCTCTTTGTATAAGGTACTGTTTTTTAGGACACGGGTGTCGTGCACTGAGCCCGGAAATCCTACGAATGTTTGTAGGAATTTACCCTTCCCATCGCATACAGCCTGCAGCTGTATGGAAGGAAAGAGCTTCCGATTTATGTAGTCCTGGCCACTGGGTCCGGGTGGGGTCTTTATTCTAATGTGGCACCCATCAATGGCACCCACACATGAACTAAATGCCGGGCTATCGGCCAACTGCTGGAAGCCCTGCCCGAAGAATAAAATGTACAGGTCAATACCTTTATCCATCAAACTAAACTGCACATACATATTCTGTCATAACAAATTAATCCATTGTTGTATTCCAATGAAAAAAGCCAGCTATTTTTCAACTATTTAAAACAATTGTAATCGAACACTCAAATACCTCAAGATGAAGCAGGATGGCTTTGCGCATTCTCGCTTTCCAGCGCTGGGATCGGCGTCTCTCCTGATTCCTGTTGTTGGTCAGAAGTTTTTGCCACTGCCGTAAGGCACATGCTACAGTGGGTTTCATGACTCAATTTGTTTCATGTGGTCACTGAATATGTTTTTCGTTGTTGAGATTTAAATCACAGGTGTGCCTGGACCTTATATAGCCTGTCAGGTCCCTCATGTTTCGTTAATTATTTGGATTAGAAATTCGTTGCAGGTGTTTTGTTAAAGAGGTGTGAGTTGATGATTTATCATGTCATTTAGCCTACTAGTTTAAAAAGGTTAACATAGCCTATAGTATAGTGTATAGACAGTCATTGTTTTTTTTGTGTGTTTGTATGTGTGCATGTGTGAATATATGAAACATACATAAGCCTCATGTAGCCTATATGTCTCCCTTTATTTGTAGGGTAGGCCTACTTTTTATAATAATGTTTTAGTGCTGCCCAATACAGAAGAGATGCTAGTATGTGTCGAAAATACTCATACATTCGTGTCATACTTGTTGCAAATGGAATTAAAAGTAAATATGTGGGGGAACAATGTTCAGCTGATCTAACAGATTACAAAATACAGCGCTCTAACAAAACACTCACAGCTGATGCAGCTGTTGCCAAGTCATAATTAACGGACGTCGCTTAAATATGACCTCGCAGAGGAGAGGAGTTCTCATTTCTCTAACCGCCTGCTGCTTCCCCTCCTCTCTCCTCGGTTCTCCTCCTCGGCTCGCATCTCCTGTGGGCGGGACTAAGTATCGAGGATAGGAGTCGAGGAGGGGAGTTGGAGAAATGAGAAAGGGCCCATGTGCATGTGATGTGTAACAGAGTTACAAAGGTTGGTGTAAAATCCGGGTTAAATTGGAGAATTACGCCGTCTGGTGTTACAAACGCGCGCCTGCATTACTGTAGCTTTGTTACCGCAATGGATTGTGAGAGATTCTCATAGCACGTGATGTCGGTGGACAAACATGTGTTATTATTTTATTAGGACAATAACGTTCTGTTGTGTTTGTTTAGTTTAAGGTTAGTTGTTTAATGCTCACAGCAACATGTTTTTTGTGTGAGCTAATAGGCTAAATTGAACGTGGTGCTATCTCTCCTACAGAACGCAGCTCACGTGTTCTTTGTATGTGTCCATTGAAACCTAGTCTATGATTGAAACGCAGGGAAATAAACTGAAGTAATCACCAGCTGAGTGGTCTGTTGCCGAGGGGACACTACACCGGGGTTACACATGCATACAATTAAATTGACTTACTAACCCCTTATGGTATTTTATTGTTCTGTTGTTTTTCATGTGTGAGCCTTGTCCTTGTATCGCTGTCTTTCATGTTGTCTTTGAAAATATGCACTAAAATCTAAATAAAAAGTTCAGTGACGAAGTAGTACAACTACCTCGTTGTTATTGCCAAAAAAATATGCAAGTCAAGGTATACAGTAAATATTTTTAATGGGTTATTGCTGACAATGGTCATAGATAGCAACACTTGTAATAACTCTAAGAACATTTAAGAACATAAAAAGCAATAGTCGCGTAAGATCTCCCACCGTGTCAATATTAACAATGAATACAACCCAACAACAGTTACAAATGTTAAATATATATAAAAATCGTTGTTTTTTCACGACTCAAGCACGGGATAAAATATCTACATAACGATCACCAGTGTAATCTTCTTACATATCTGTCAGGTAACAAGAAAGATTTAAAAATGTGTCCTTCAAATTCATTTAAAAATTGCAAAGCTGATTGCAAATGTTTTGTCTAAACAACTAACATTACCAGAAACTATTGAGGCAATAAGAGTGTTTAAACAATGTATTTTCCAATTCTGCTTGAACTTCATACAACACAAAAAAATCGCGAATAAGGCACTCAGTAAAAAATACTTAAGACATATTGAACAAAACTTGGTGAGATCTTTTTTTGCTCTTTAGTATGAAATCACACAATGTGACAATGAACTTGTGATGGTGAATACCAACTTGGTTAGTATGAGTTATATAGTGATCGTATCACTCTCAAAAACAAAACCTACAAAAGATTAAATGCAGGTCATCCTTGATCATGAATGACAACATCCAGCGTTTCAATGTCCACAGACAGGTGATGCTAACTTTATACTGGCGTATTATGTAACCGCTCCATATGGTTCCTGAGGCATGCTCTATGGACGAAACTTTTCCCACAAACCTCACAGGAACAACTATGATCTTTCCCACAGATCAAGACATGCTTATTGTACTTAACTATTGAGGGAAACGTTTTCATGCACTTTTCACACTTGCGTCTCCTCTTCAAACACATTTTCCCATGCCCGCTTGGCTTCTCTCCTGTGTGGGTGGGAAAGTGCTCAATCAGCCCGTGTGTGTCTGTAAAGGGCTTCAGGCACAACCGGCAGATGAAGCCCTCAGGGGAGCGTGTGCCCATTGTTTCCCATATTGAACTTGGGCTTGTGTCTGGAATGTTATCCCTCTGAACATCTTCATGGTTGTTTGCATGACTTTTTTCTTTTTTTGGAGGCTTCAAATCCACACAAATATCGTCCATATTCTCCAAAGGCATGGTCCATGCATTGCTTTCATTTGTCACACTGGAAATGTTTTGTTCTTTGTGCATTTTCCATTTGTGTTTCCTAAGTGCCTTTTTACTCTGGAATGGCTTCGAACACATGCTGCAAGGGAATTTGTTTTCACCAACATGAACACACAAATGCTCCTCTAGATTCAAAATAGTACGACATGTTTTGTTGCAGTGTACACAGGTTAGCTTTTTGTTGCCCTTATTATTCTGAGTAGAAGATTCACTGGGCCTGCTAGAGGAAGCTGTGCTTTCTTTTTTAAAGATGACCTGTTGTGCAGTCAGGGTTTCTTCACCTAAAGACTCGTTTTTTGGAGGGTTAGTGGATCGAGCTTTTTTTGCCAACAACTTCTTGAGTTTTATGCAGGATGGTTTATGCAACTTTAGAGCACTTGGAGTTGGGAACTCTATTTTGCAACCTTTGCATTTCTTGTGTGATCGTATATGCACACTTCTGCCAAACATTGTGTCAAATGCCTTCTTACAATACCTGCAGGAGAACTTTTTTTCCCTGCCATTTTTTACAATCGCCTTTTCTGTAGACTCTCTTGTAACGATTTTATTTTCTTCTCCTTTGCTCTTCTTTGTATGTTTTTGCTTTTTTCCTTTTACATTTCCCCCCCCTTTTCCTAGACTTGTACTGATTGTTGTGTCAGTATGCACCTGCTTTATGCCTGAGAGCAATTGTTTTATGTCGTTTCTCTGGGTTGAATGTTGAGTTCCTTGGTCATGTGTTAGTATGGTTTTGTCCTGCGTGGTTCTCTTATTTATTAAGGTACCTGTAAAAAGAAAATAGTAAACTGAATGAAAAAGCAGAGATGACACCATTACACCACACTAAAAAAGTGGAAGAAAAGAGAATTGGTAATGCCAGCATTTGAAAGCAGATACAATTTACAGCAACACATTTTATTAGAATCATTGTCCTCGAAGCTAGAAGGTATAAAGCTAGAGGGCGGATAAACTTTAACTTGCACATGATTTTTGTAAACAAACTACTATCAATGTATGGCTTACAGAGCATTCGATTTGAGATCTTACTTCGCAAATTTACAAAGAAACAATTCCTATTTACAAAGAGAGCCTTTGAAATCATGAAATGGGTATCAGTGAATGCAAACATCTAAATTCTGACAAGTATAATTTACAGCACAAATGAATAAAAGCACAATTGAAAAATGAAACAAACCTCTCTTGGATCTCCTGACACCCTTTGCTTGCTGGTTGGAGTCAATGTCACGCTGATCCACCTAAATCAAAGATAAGTAGTATTTTGTTGGTTATATCTTCAGGGATTAACAATGCAAAAGAAAAATAAAGTTCAAAATAATTAGGAACATGCAGAGCTATGTCTTCAAACGCAGCAAGTAATGAGATGAACTTTGAATGTTTTGAGACTTACAATACCTTTGTGAATATTGTAGCTCTTTATAAAACATGTGATAACTGTGGTATAGAATTTTCTATATGCCCATTTAGTTTTAGTTCTATAGTCTTCTTATTTATTCCCTCTCCTCCTCTCTAGGACATAGAGCTTTAACATTCTTTCTCCACAGCTGTGTATTACCCTGGTAGTTGATTCAGCAAGCCCAAAAAATTCATAAAATAATCTCTTCTTTAGATAATAACAGGACCAAGCACAGTGTCAGAGAGCAGGAAGGACATCCAGGAGTGGAGTGCACCAGCTGGGCGTAAGAAAGTAGGTCTTAACTCTAATATCGGGCTTAGTGATCCAAATTTACACCGAGTGCACCAAGCCTGACTAGTCTCGGTCGTAGTTGCGCGTCCACGTGAATACACACAAAACAGTTTGTTGCCAAGCAACACACGTCTACATAATTTAACACTCGAACTCCTCCATTCAGAGCAAGCTAAGACTTGGATAACGAAGTCATGGATAACGGAAACCAAAAGAAGAGAAAAATGACGCCCACACCCCGAAAAAGAAAGAGGGATTTTACAGATTTTTTTAAAATCTCAATTTCATGCTAGTTCTCCAAATGTTGTTATTTAATGTTCTTGTGTGTTTTGAATAACATAGGCTATAAAACGGCCTAATGAAAATATGTGCTCACAATGGGAGCTTATTGAAATGCAATTGCAAAAAAACAGTTTCTTATGTGATTGCGGGTAAGTCGTCCACCGATATCTTCACGGATGCCAGGAGGATTTTGCTGCTTCTTCTTGTGTTGGTAAGTGAATATAATTCCTCAGGCGGCGCTGGAGAGCCAAGGAAACTTGTCTAATAGCCCGACATGCAGTTGTGCGATGAACATTAATCATGTCTCCCACAGTATTTTGAAAGGCCCCGTTCGTGTAAAATCTGAGCGCAATCAGCACCTGCAAGGTTGGGGAGAGCGCAGCGTTTCTGTCTGATCCATGCTGTAGTTGAGGGGAGATCTCCTCGATTAAATTAAAAAGGGCTTGTCTGCCAAAACGAAACCTCTCCAGCAGCTCACTGAATAGATGTCCAGTGGGTTTGTTAGATCAAGGACGACTCTTTCTCTTCTTAACCCTTTGGAGTCGACCGTCACGCCGGCGTGATCAGATCACATGACCTGTTCAAGCCGGTGCCGCATAAAAAAACAGTCCGGACAACATTGCCGTGTGTTTCTGTCGAAAGTACTGGCTTGAAACTATATCCCAGTCTTTGTTTCATGCAAAAAGACCCAGAGATATGATGATACAAAGTTAACACATTTCAAAAGTATGAAAAATGGAAGCACATATTTGAATATCTTCGCCGTATTTTATCATTTTACGAAACGGAAAATACTGGAAACTGTAGATCCTGCTCAAAAGGATGTATATGTGTATTTCTGTCGAAAGTACTGGCTTGAAACTATATGCCAGTCTTTGTTTCATGCAAAAAGACCCAATAAACACAGAGATACGATAACATAAAGTGAATACAAATATATTTCAAAAGTATGAATAATGGAAGCACATATTTTAATTTCTTCGCCGTATTTTTATCATTTTACGAAACGGAAAATACTGGAAACTGTAGATTCTGCTCAGCAGGATGTATTTACCAGGGAGGGGGTGAGGTAACCCTCGATTGAAGTAAAGTGACAGACAAACTTGAGAATTTAGATATAGTTGATAGATTACACACAGATA